CCATGTCATACTTACTACTTAATAAGTTGTCTAACACATTCACATCCAGGTCTGTGTATGTTCTTTGCTGCTGTGCTACCAACTGACAGAAGTTCTGAGCAGCTTTTACTATGTCTGCTTTTCCATCTTCCGGAGACAGCACCTTCAATGTAGATTGGCAATTTAAAACTGAAAGTACAAAACACAGTTTAAAAGCAACAGAAATATAGTTGTTTTGAGTGTGCTTTAGATATTCGCAGGACATGATTAAAGTAACTTGTAGTTTACTTCATATATTATACAATTAGTCATAGGTATACCCACTGCTGTAGAAGATGGATGAGGTAAGACTCTTCTGGATTTGCTGTATTACTAAAATGCAAGTTTAAGGCAACTATTGTGAGGAGTCTTGTGAAAAGTGGTTTAATTAATGTCAGTCTTGACATGTAGAGTATTCCACAGAATTTACATCAGTTCTTATGCTGTCGGGTAACAAAGAGTAAGAGGAAGAGCAAAGTAGTAAGAGGAAGGTGCCTAGATAGTAAGTTGGGGACTGCTAAGCAATGCAGAAAGACTTGCAGTTCAGGGAAAGGAAAAAAAAGATTTAATTCCTACCCTAAAAGAGGAAGGTTTTTTTAAACAGCTAGTGTGGACATTCATGTGACAATGATTTAAGCTGGGGCCCTCCCTGAATATGATCACAGGATCTTTCAGCAGCACTTCGAAATTGATGCAAGAGTTACAATATTAATCTAAGATCACTACAGAGATGCTAGGAACCAGATAATAGTACCAGAGTTCACCCATTAATCTGTAATTATGTCTGCAACTTAAGAGGACATTTCACAACAATCTTATTGTCTACACTATTGTGAGGTAAGAGTCTTCTCACACTACGTGACTTGCATCATTGTCAGTTCTGATAAGATACCTAAGAGGTAACCTTACCAAAGGAAGCTGAAGGCTACAGATAGTGTACTAAACCCAGCTTGAAGTAATGAGTTAATACTAACCAGTGTGTGGACACATTAGACATATACAGAACTTATGGCAGTTATAACCAGATACTTAAAAACTGCAAAGGACCACCGAATACAGTCAGAAGACTCATATGAACACCTAAAAAGCCTCAGTTAATCTATCCAAAGCCACCACAATGAAAATAATTGTTCCTTGATACTGTTTGTCATAGAGAATATGCTTTAATATAGGACCTAACAGCATTCATAAGTGAGACATGTCATTTTGTTTCTCAAAAAAAGTGAAAAATTACAGTTTATTATAAACTGGATGTCAGCTTGTTCAGTTCAGAGTATGAAGCACCTGATCTGACTGTGGAGCCTTCCGAGTAAGAATGAAAAATTCTGAAGAGAACAGAAGACACCTCTGCTTCTCATAGTTTCCAGCACAAGAGGTTCCTGAGACTTAATTCAGTCAGCAAGTCTCAGCAGCCTTTCAGTAGTTCATTTGGTCTGGATGTAAACATCCCAGTTTAGGTAAACTCCAGCATACTTAGCTGTGCTTAAGGCATTAACAGCCTGTCTATCCCATTTTCTACTGGTTATTTCAACCTCCACAGGAATAAAGACAAATAACATGGAACTTGGGTGTTTCCATGTAAATGCTAGCTCCTTAGCCTAGGTTCCTTATAAGGCAAGTTTATGCTACAACATCGAACTTTATACTGTAAAACTGGCACAAAGGATCTCGCCATCCTATCAGCTCTTGTGAGGGAAGCAAAACTCAGCAAGCAGCCTCTTAAATGCAGCTAAATGTACTACAGCTTGTGAAGTTTAGTCTTAAGTCTTTGAACTATGTAATATGATTATCTTAAAATATAAGGGGGTTTTTTGTTTATTATGAGAACTATTTAAATATTATGAAGTATAGTTAGAGCTGTTAAGTATCATCCTAATCCTGTAAGCCAAAGGACTGCTTTAGTAAGTATATACTTGTGACTTACTACATTTTGAACAGCCTTCTAGCATTTGTGTTAGTCAGCATACCCAAATGAATATTTAGAGCAGATAGTACTGAATAAGGAACATTAACCTTGAAACATATTCCCGTTTTCCACTTCTACTACATGCACAAAAGCTGCTATCACAGAATTTTTTTTTAAACGTACATCCTTTACTTTCCTTGTGTCATTATACACTGCCATGACAACCAGCAGTTTTGCTCTTTCCTTTCTTCCTCCCCACTTTGAGGTATAAGTTTGGAAAGATAGAAGTGCATGCATTGTTAACTTGACATCAGCTCCCTTACACTCACTCCAGTGCTTTTTCAGTGCTCTCAGCAGAGGAATTCAACTCACTGCAACAATGGAAAGCTGAGCTACACTGATGCATTAAAGGGGTCATGGCACAACAGTCAGGCTAAGGGGAAGATCAGACTACCCAAAAATGATCACTATGGGAAGGAAGAACGACACTTCACTATTAGTTAAGAACAAATAAGCACAATGAAGTTTAATACTAGCCCAGAAAGGTCATTATGTGTTTTGATAATCTGTGCTTAATGAAGGAAAAGGTCACTGTATGCAGGAATGTGTTTAAGTAAAAGCAGAGTTATGGTTTATACACAGCTAGAGTCATGCCAATCCCCTCCTCACAATTCATCTTACCTTGATCAGCTTTGTCTTGATTTGCAAATTGCACGGTGTACTTGGAGCAATCTAGTCCTAAGAGTTCTTGCTGCTGTTTTAAAATTTCATCCATCAATCTTGAATTATTTCTCTTGAAAATACCTTTAAAAAAGGTTGCATGTCAGTCAACTCCTATAAAGAGTGCTACAAAATAAATCTGACACTAGGCAGGAAGAAGAAAGAATCAAGTAGTCAGTACTGGTTTCAAACTGGAGTTCGCAAGTACGATAAGAATCCAAAGCAAATGCTACTGCACATGACTAACTTCAGTGACCTTGGAGAGACAACTTGTGCTTTTGCTCCTCTCTCACTCAGCCAGGTTTAACTAGCAAGCAGCAATTGCATAAGGGATAGTTTAAGACTTAATTCATTGTCCTTAGTATTCTAGCAACAATCTAAGATAGCAATATGGTACCAGCATAGGACCACCTTAACACCAAGTCTCTTGAATACCCACGCTGCTGTACATTTGCGGGTTAAGTCTGCTACTGCTTACTGCTGCACCACTAAGACTGGAGGCTGACAAAGCAAGTCACCATAAAGCAAGAGCCAGAAGACTAAATCAGTATATCAGGCCCCAGTAACTGTCCACTCTTACACCATGGCCAATGCCATGGATTTCCTAATAAAAGCATTTCACAAGCTGTAAATTCAAAGGAGTAAATGAAGTCCCCAAGGTCTTTTTATACTCATGTTTATGGTAGACATATTTTGAGTGTGGGAGGTTACAAAAAACTTGCTTAATCAACATACTTGGGTTTCTGTTCTAAAATAAATTCTACCTCTTAAGACAAACACAACACAACTATTTCTAATTAAAAGCCACAGTAAAAATTAAGTGTTACAACTTAAATATTTACAATGCAAAAGTGTGGCTAGGCATATTTACTTAGGAACTGGTAACACTTATCACATTGTATTCAGGGGTTGTTATTAAAAGCCTAAGTTTCATTCAAAAATCCTGTGTCAAACAGTTCTATTCACCAGTCTAAAAATGCCTACACAATCACCTTACAAGAAACACTGGACTTGTATACAATTTTATGTTAGGGCTTATGATTCATCACCTCAACCTGATTCTGGGATTAGAAACTGCTAAAACTGCACTTTCCACATCAGTAGTGGTCAAACAGTGTATAAGCATTGGGTTAAGACCATAATACATCAGGAGTTAGTTTGCAACATGAAGTGATACAACACTAATTTCATATGCTAGCCTTTAGGCCCTAGTAAGTTAGTATTTTTCTACAGGCTTCATTAGAGGTTTTAACAGGTGGTAAAGCATCTGGTTTTCCTCTCATTCTGGATACTTCCTGTAAAAAAATAATTTACTTCATTACACAAGTGTTAGTGATGCTTACAACTGATTTCACATGTCAACAGACAAGTAAACCTCAGTAAGATAGCAACCTTGATAGAAAAAAGATTAGAATACTTTCATTAAGTCTAAACTAAAATTAAATTGTTACAATTTGTGCTCCTACTTACACTTGTATATTCATACATCTTGGAAATTGAGAATGCTGCTTTGAGTAATACTGTTTGACACAAGTCTGCTTGGATAAGTCTGTTTCATGCTAGAATTAGCACTTACTGTCTTCCTTACAGTTAAGGTCAGCAGCAGTGCAGCTCCTGCAATTGCTAATCCCACACCATCTTCAAGTAAGACTTGTACAAGGTTGCATGTGACTCACCCCTGAGAGTCACTTGACTTCCACCAACTTTAAAAAAAAACAACAAAAAAACCTATGTTCAATATTCAGAAGACTTTGCATAATCAGGAAAAGCTCCTAATCTGGGAAACAGACAGCTGCTCTCTTCTTCCCCTTCCCCACACAACACTAATGATACCAATTCTCTCCTCATGAAAAGTTGTTGCCTATTCCTGTCAAATATTGGAAGAACAGATTTAAGAATCTGTACTCCAGCTCTGAAGTAAATGAAGACATTAAGGATAACAGGTAGGAGAATAGACTAAGGTGCTTACTGCTCAGTAAAAAGGGACCTAAGAAAGGACTTTGTCCAGCTCTGAAGTAAAGGTCCTTAATACACACAGTGGATACTGGAAGACAAGCTAGATCTGTTCTTGAGATTTATCTGAGTACACCAGCATTTCCCTTCTACTCGCCTCATTTATCTCACCCACCTCCTTAGTTGTTCAAACCTGAGTCCTGTGTTGCTCTTGGAATAGCAGTTTAACATGAACTGTAAGCTACTGTAGTTGTACTGTACAGCTGTATGTAGTATGTCTTTCTGGGAAAGACATCCACACCTAAATTCCAACTGATCCACCAACCTTGACACACCTGCAATTCTCCTGCAGAGAAGATCCTGAAGCACATCAGAAGGTAGTAAACATCCAAACTAACTGAAATCCTCATTTAAAACCAATAGCATTTGGGAACTTTACTCCTTCAGTGTTTTGTCTCTCAGTGCAAAAGACACTTTTTGTCTCTCACTCAGTGCAAAAGAGAGTTTTTATTATGAATGTGTATGATGGCACACACAGTCCTGCCAGAGGCAATGTACATGGGCCAAATTCACATTTGACTTTAAAAGTTATTTTACATGGTTGTGGCTCAGACATACACTCCCTTCCCTTACAGTATCTCAAAAAACCATTTGTCTACAAGGTTCATTTTTTTTTTTAAAACTTTGAAAATATATCCAAGTTAGCTCCAGAAGCTGCTGTTGCTAATTTATACATCATAAATATAGTAAACAAGAGTGCATGTGTAGACCACCTCACGAACAGAATTCAAGTGTTCCTAGGCAGTGAGACTTAAGTCTTGATTTAATGTTACCTTCCAATTTTGTTGAGTCTTCCACATAAGTTGAAAGCAAGTCCATAATATGATTTTAACATTATAGAAAGTTATGTTTGACAAGAGGTCTAAAATTTTAGCAATACAACAGCTGTTTGCTGTTGAGTGAGGAAAATTTCAGCCCTACTACTGTTTCTAATACAAAACAGTATACAACATGAAAATGTCACTATTATTTCTCATTAGAAACAATTTTTGTTTTTGAAAAGCAGAAACAGTTTTGTTCAGCCAGAACTCTGAAGTCTTTGCAAGCTGGTACAAATGTGTACATTCCAGCAAATGCAGCATTTTAAGAATTATACATATTTAAGCACTGTAAGTTCCAAAGCAAAAGAGTACAAAACTTCAGTTGTGCTTTTTAATTTTTTTTTTTAACTACTGAGAACTCATGAACCGTTTCCAGGGATAATTCTTGTTTTTACAACACAAGCTACAAACTTGCTACGGATCATTAGTTCCCATTAGAGCTGAGGCAAACCAGATGTGGTTTAGCTTCCTGCCATTACACAGGTCCTTCCTAAGGGACTCGCCTTTTGCTCAGTTCTACAATAGTTACAAGCCATGCCTCTTTGCAGTCAGCTGTGGTGTTGCAGATTTTAGGCTTAGACACTCACAAATGCAGTTTGTAATTAAGAGGCTGCAAGTTCAGCAGACACAAGGCTCAAAAGTGACAGGAATTGTGAACTGTAGGAAAACAACTGGCACCAAGAAACACCAGGTGGTGTCAACCATTTGTTTGTCTGGCTAGACAACCACAGCCACCACCTGTTAATGCCTTAGTAGCATTTCAAAAGTTCACCACTCTCACTTGCTCTGCTTTTTAAAGCAGCAGAATCTTGTAAAATACAGAAAAAGAGTCAGCTCTTCCTTACAAGGGAACACTTTAACCAAAGTTAAGTGTTCTAGGTGAGAATACATTGCCTCAGTATTTCAGTTATTTCTTTTTATCAACTCCCTTCCAGTGCCAACAAGGGAAGAGTTATAAGGCAACAAGTCTGTTTAAACCAAAGTATTAACAGTTTGGGAAACTTCAAATCATAACCCAATTCAAATAACGTACATGCAAGAAGCTGTTTTAACACATGAACAACTTCTGCCCACATCCTCATGTTGGATCATGCTCACTGATAATGGAGGAAAGTGGAGTTTGAGTCATTACACTGGACCTCACAGGACATTGAAAGCTAGAAAAAAAGTATTAGACTTGTCTACTCCAAGAGCCCAGAAAAAAAATATAATCCAAATTTGAAAATGGCTGAAGTCACTTATGTTTCACCTACATTAAAACCACTTAAGCTAGCGCTAACCAAATAGAAAGAACAAGTTAGAATTTATAACCCAGTAGGTGACCATTCCTCCCACATTCTTGGAGCAACATTCTGTACCAGGAGAGCAAGAGCTCATCAGCAATCGAGAGAAGAGAAACTACTTTCATACCTATAAGCAGACTGCCTTCTACAGATTAGTGTTAGCCCTTCTAATAGATGTACTCTGAGGACTCCTCCCAACTCAACACCAAGACACAGCTGTTGAACATGAAGTTTCACATGGGTGAAGACTCACAGCAGATGCCATGTGATACTGGTATCTCACAAAAGTGTTCTGGTGACACAAAACCACAACATATTTATCTCCCCCTGTGAACACACTGAACACTCAAAGTTTTATGGATTGATCACATTGGCTAAACTACCAAGTCATTTGGAAGAGACTAAAAGCCTACATTTGGGTCTAATGAAATAATTTCTTTTTCTTACTGCAGTACTCTATCCTTTCAAAGAATTTCTAAGAGAAAATTGGTCAGAAGTAAAGCAGTTCACTGGAAGGCTAAACCCTGGATGAAGAAACCAAGTTCTCAATACAGTCGTACTATGGGCTTGGGCTCAAATGCCAACATTCAGCAAGGTCCCAAAAAGTGTTCTAGACTTGTCCCAAACTATTTCAGGAAAGCTTCACTGATGGACAGAAGTAACACTCAATCAAGCTCTCGAGTGGCAAAGTAACTTTAACATAAGAAAGTTGATGTATATAACACTTGTCAAAGGCTCCTGCTCCCCACTTCTGACTGCGAGAAGGCTGCGTTATTTCCTCAGAGATAAGGTCTTGACCAGCATGGATGGATTTCTACCAAGTAATGGGATTGGCGATACAGAGGTCCACAGAAATAAATCTTTGATCAAAACTCTAAAATTTTAGTCAATCTGGATTTAACGCTACTGTGTGCACCTTGGTGCACAAAGCTTATGGCTTTGTTCTGCTGCATATCAATGAAAATT